CCTCCCTCTGCTCCTCCACCCCACACCTGTTCTCTCTCTCTCTCCCCCAAATAAGTATAATCTTTAAAGATAATAGTAGTAAGAGTAGTAAGATACATACATATACACACACATATAAACTATGGTTATGAGTAGAAAAGTCCTATATCCCACCAATAATTATTAGCTTTAACTTTCAGGAGTTACGCAATAATGCAAAGGAGTCTAATATAATACAAAACACAGAGATATAACAACTTGGGCTTTAGATGCAATATACAGAATAAAAATAAAATAATTACAGGGAGACTGGAAGAGCCATAGGGATAAAATACTGGCCTTATAATTGTACATTTCTTTTTTTTCTTTTTTAATCAAAATCTTAACTAGTCACTTAAAAAGCTGATGTTTGACAAGTTACATTGCCTCTTTTTACCACATTCACCCATATTTATAAAATGAAATAGGTAAAGTAGAAAACTTCTAAGGTTCAACTTCCATGATTAATTTATTCTTCTGCTCTCATGTTCTATGAATTCCATGCCATGCAGAGCTATATAGAAATACTTACTGGAAAGGTAAGTTGCCAATAATAACAAAATAAGACTTTAACATACTGGCAAAATCCTCTACGCCTCACTGACCACAAACTTGTTCTATCTCTTTGATGGGGTGGGGGTATTTTTGGCTTCTATTGGCTTGTTTTGCTATAATCTTTTAATACTGAGTCAAGCTTGGGTTTCTCTCATCACTGGCTGATGGGAATTAAGTACATAAGTACATTTCCGTTCCATGACAAAAAAATAAAACACACATACACAGAGACACGCCCTTTTAGTTTTATAATATTAAGATTATTTGATACACCAGTGAGACATGTAATTTATAATCATAACCCTTGAGACACCTTTCCCATACCTATTTAACTGCAGGACAGGTATGTGGGCAAAATATAACTGAAGAGAAATTCCAGATTGAATTATGGTCCATTTCAAACAATTAAAAGTCTTCTAAGTGTTCTTATGAAAATATCATTCTTATTTTCATTCCTAAGACAGATGCAATTCAAGGTTAAACAAACAAAAGGGTCATATTTGATGTGAGGTTTATAAGATTTCCAAAGTAGTGGAAACTACTAGTTGCATATAGTAAGAAGTAAAAATCAAAGTAAGAAAAGTTGTCAATTACTCTAAATTGTGTATAAAGCTTTGTATTTGTTTCTGATAATCAAAATATTTCATATACAAAGTAAGTACGCCATGTCTGGTGGGGAAATAAAACACGAAGACAAAATAAATTTTGTTTTTGCTATCAAAATAAAAGAAACAGCTGGTATTTCGCAACTACTTTTTTAAACGTTGACATCCTTTTCTTTCAACATTTCTGTTTTGAGGAGAAAATTTTTCTGACTGAAATGGAATATCACTCTTCAAGTTTGAAAAAAATTTTTAAGCCACTAGCTCTTATTTCCTTAAATCACTATCTCTGTAATAGAAGGTAAAATTAGGAAGTATATCTTCATCAGTCACACTGGGAGCCATTCCATGCTGTAATTTTCTAGGATAGAGGAAGATGGACCCAGTCTCTCCAGATATTCTCTCTGGGCCTTTTGAAAGGTGTAACACCATCTTCAGTTTGCTAGGACATCATTTAATTTATCATAGGAGTCCATGTGAGAGCAGCAACTAGCTGATTTTGTTGATAGAGTTCATCAAATTAAGCAACATTTTTGAGCTATATATCCTGAATTTGTATATGCTAATCAATACAACTTTGAACTTTATTATTCAAATATAACTTTATGGGTTCAATAGACATCCACTGTCATGGAAAAACACCCATACACAGACTACCATGATTGGTGGTAGTAAGAGAAACAAAGTAACTTTTTACAACATTGCTAGTCTTGGGGCACCTGGGTGACTCAGTGGTTTAAGCGTCTGCCTTGGGCTCAAGTCATGATCCCAGGGTCCTGGGATCCAGGCTCACATGAAGCTCCTTGCTCAGCAGGGAGCCTGCTTCTCCCTCTCCCCCTCCTCCTCAATTTTGCATGCGCACTCTCTCTGTCAAATAAATATATAAAATCTTTCAGTAAATAAATAAATGAATAAATACAATAAAACATTGCTAGTCTTTCAAAAGCCTTTACCATTTACTTGAGGGGGTTTTCCTTCAATGCAATAAATCAAAGTTGTGAAATGCATTAAAATAAAAAGTCTATAAAGAAAAGTGAGTTTAAAATAAATATAACGAAGTTTTTCTTTAGTTCAAGTTCTCGAGTGTCTATTATAAACTCTAGGTCCTACAGGAATATCAAAGAATAGATTTAAAACCTGACGACAAGTAGCTTACAACTTCATGTGCATAAAGAAGCACAAAACATCATATAAGACTTGGCAAAGTCTTATATATTGACAGAGGTATATGCCAGAGGCCAAACTAAAGAAGCAGACAGTGGTCCAGCAGCAGGGATGCCTTCACTGAAGCTGAAAGGCAAAGATCACAAAGACGGTTTTCAAGATAGAAGCAAGATAAACAACTCCAGAAAGGCGTAAAACAGCATAGACTGTTACTGAGAAACCCAGATGTTCAATATTGCTAGAGCATGAAACAGAGGGAAGGGGAATACTCTCGTGGATAAGCAAGAGTAGTATGGAAAGAGCCCAGAAGGAGAGCAGAAGACCAATACAGAATGGAAGTATCAGCTCAGTCACGAAGGAGCTCACTGTGCCAAGACTGACCTTTACCTATGAGCAACAGAGAGCCAGGAATGAGAGGGCATCAGCAGGAAAGCAAAGTGTTCACTGCAGTGGGAGACTGATCCTTCTAAGGGTAATAATGTAGCAGAGGGACTGGTAGAATAGGAGGTTAATATTAGTATTTCAAGCTAAATTCACTCATCTTACATGATACAAAAGGTATTATCTTCTTTCTTTATAATATGCCTATATTTAAAACACCTGTATATAGAAGTTATTTATAAATATGATAAACAACCACTATCAGGATTGACATTAAAGCCAAAAATAATATTGAGAAAGTATCTCAAGTCTTAAAATGCTCAAACAGCTTTCAACCAAAATACATTCCATTTTAGACACTGTCAACCAAAGTCACAATTCTCTCTCTGCTTTCTTGTTTAAAGGGACAACTTTCTTCAGTTTCTTTTTATTGTACTAATTTAATTTGGCCTGCTTTCTGCCCAAAGTTTTCACAGGGTACTTCAGAAACAAGATACCAGAAGGAATAAAAATAAAGCCAGTTAAAAAAAAAAAAAAGTGTAAGAAAGTAATATGTACTTATGCAACAGGTAAAGTGAACAAACAAAAGATATTGAATAAAGAACTGAAGTAATCTTGATTATCATTACCCAAAGGGAGTAGCAAAGAAAAATTTAATTGAGAAATGCCCATTCTAGACAAATCACAGTTGCATTTTCAAAATAAACATATTGTCCAAAATCTAAATCAAATCCATTAAGAAACTGGTAAGCAGAACTTGAACAAAGAAAAAGCTTGATTCAGAGGCTAAAACAAGCATTAAATGAAAGTTAAAACACAGTTGAAATTTAGATGTGAAAATACCCATAAAGCATTCCTGAAATAATAGAACTGATCTTGAAACATTCTGCATTATTTCGGAAATTATATGAGATTCAATAAAAGTGATATTCTATAATGATCAGCCTCATCTTAAGATATTTACTTTACATTTAGGCCTATCCCACCTGCTGTTTTGGATGTGGTTTATTCTATTTTAGATGAGCGGGTTTCTGAACACTAGCCCTAATACAAAATCTGTGCCAGAGTATTAGCTTTTCCTTGTATCTCTTTTGGTTATCTCCTTGTATCTACTGTTTAAGCTCTGCAAGAAAATTTAGCATTACCTTTGTTTTTAACTTAAACATGTAATACAGAAAACCCTTTGGAACTATAATCAGCATCTATAACCCAACCTAAAAATTTTAAATATCATGCTAATGCTTATAGTACCACAATTTATAAACCAACAATAGGGAAGTTTTTACTATGTCAGTAGATAAATTTCACCTAGTTAATGCCATCCTTCCAGCAGAGCAACATACTTACTTCCCATGCCATGTGCACTAGACATAAACCACGTAAGTTTATAAATTGTGTAGGCATTCTAAATCCAAAAAATAATGGAAAACCATCTCTTTCTGTCGTCTTCAGTACCAATGCTTTTAATGTTAACCTGGGGTGTACAAAACAACGACAAATAAATGAACATCCCACAGCACTGGGAACACGCGGAGAAACGTGTCAAAGTGCTAAATGCGATGAAAGAAAAACAAACGACCGACGTGCCCCAAGACATGGTTCATTTCATGAATGTAGTAGGGAATCGCTTTTTGTAAAGAACCAGCTAGCAAGTCCCTTGGACAGAGAAACTCTCTCCAATGCTGATTTGCATCTTGGATTCCGAAGACTGTTCTCACTTCTCACCACTCCCTGTTCTCTCTGTTCCCAAAGCTAGCCCTTTACTAACGTTCATGCACTGTCAAAGGGACACCGCTCGCTTTTAAAAAGAACCTACGTTGCTCACAATCACAGCGCCTACACGGACAAGCCTTTTACTACATTTTCACATGTTCATCTGAACTTTTCCCCTATTCCATTTCTGGACCACTCACGAGTGTAAGCTCAGTAATATAGTCCTGCTTTAATCCTGATATGAAAGAAAACAGGAATTTACCCATTAGAAGACTTCAGGTTTGGCAGAATGAAGAAACAGAAACTTGCTGATGGGACACAACACGAGTCAGTGGTAGAGCACCTTTCCCACCCCCGACCCCCGTATTTCAGGGTATCCTGAAAGGACACAGCATTCTCAAGAGCAACACACAGCACTACACGGCCACCAAGAACATTCTTAAACAGCAGGCAGCCCCTCCTGGCTAGCTTAACATGCCACACAGCCCTTTGCTCACTGATGCAGAGCACCCAACAGGGACAGGGAGTTTATGAGTAAAAGCGAGACTGAACTGGCTAATTACTTACCTTCTCACTTACGGCAGGCTGGCTCGTTTAACTTTTTGTTTCCTCTCTTGTCATAGCTCAGCGGTGAATGGTTATGATTCAGCAGAAGTTTGAACCTGACAGTGATAAAGAATTTTATAAGCAAAAATACTGGAAATTACTGTTCTCCCCACTGCAGTCTGTCTTTCCTTGCCCTCTGTGTGTGTGTTTCTCTCCCGTTTTCTCTCTCTGCAAGGCAGCTACGTAGTGGTCTATAAATATTGACCCTGACACTTGCTCGGTGCTTTAGTTGCTCATGGCACAGGTCTGTGTTACTGAACACCGTGGTAATACTCCGGCAAAGTTCTCAGCTGCTCAGACAAAGCTGTGGATTGGCTCACTACCCAGCAGCCCTGTGCCTGCCTGGAAATACCATTTTGCTGCCAGCTTTACAGATGCTATGGGCTTTGCCTGAGGCCCAAATCAGGCACAGAAGGGCAATTATGAGGTTTGTCTGAAGAAATAGCTTTTCTCAAGCAGGTGAAGAAAAGGGGGAGGGGAGGCTGGGTGAAGTGAAAGACAAGAAAGGAAACATTTGCCTTTGTCTCAGCCAAACAACATCACTTCAAGCCCTTTATGAAAGTTACACCTAAATGTGGTTCAATCCAGCTTTGTAAAACTGAATTACTACGTATTATGAATGGCCCAAACAGAGGCAAGCATTTTTATAATTGTTTTTAATTTTGCTTCTCTTTGAGTAAGGCTGTAGTAACTGAGTAATTGGTTGCAAAGAAATGTTTCAACACAGGTAAGCTCAAACACCAGAATGATAGAAATGCACTGAAAAGTATAAGATTAATCAGATAAATTTATGTATTTGATGAAAGAGGCTAAAATATAATCTGAAAATTGTATGACTCAATATATTAACTAATTCTAAATTTTCAATCATGACAATTTGAATTATTTTAGTTTTTTTTAGTTTAAGGATAAAATATAAGTCGTGGCTCTGTATAGTTTACAGGTGATATGTGCAAGGTCAACATTATAGATATACCACATATAATGTCTACAGTATGAATGATTAGAAAATAAATCAAATCCATATTTTCTATTCTTCTTATCCTAGAATTATTATATGTTTGCTTTACTGAAAGTTTGTCTCTTAAGACTAAATCAAGAGTAAAGAAAACCTTAGAAATAATCTGGCCACTTACTCATTTTACAGATAAGAAAACTGACCCCCCAGGCCGGTTAACTTATCCATAGTTACACGACAAGTTTGCAGCAGAGCCAAACCTAGAGTCTGCCTCACTATTACTGCTCACAATCTTCGCTCCTTCTATTATAAGAGTGATTGTTAAACTCATTTTTATGTTCAGAATCCTATCTTCATGTGAAATTTTACTGCAAACCTTACCAGTAAGAGCAAATATTACAGCCAGAAATTTAACTAGCATAAAACAAAGGTTTGACTCCCCGAAAAATGTTATATGCAAAAACTAACTTTCTAACAACTGAAATCCATCTTTGTTGCATTCGATAATTAATATTTGCCCAATAAGTTAACTTATTCCCAGGAGAGGTATACAGCTAACTGTTGAGGAGGCAAAGATAAACCATAGTTTCTACTCTCAGAGACCTTACATTCCAATATCAGAGAAAAACAAGCTAATGACAAAACCGTGTTCTTGGGACAACGAAGATTAGCAGAGAGTGATAAGGAGTAATGGAGAGCAGGCAGAGCATCCAATATGAAGAGAGGGTTCTTTGGGGAATTCCTCAGTCAAGACTTCCGCACATGATAGCAAGGCAGAAGACAGTGAGGCAAACATGGGAAAAGAATGATACAGTAAAGACAAAGAGGCAGGAAAAAGCATGATATAGAACTTCAAGTAGTTTTTATTGCTGGAGCATACAATGCAGAGTGGAAATGGTTAATTTTTTTTTTTTTTTTTTAAAGACTAGAAGGATAAAAGTGATGAAAGGTTTTATATACGAGGTTTTAAAAACATGGGTTTTATACATCATGCTAGCAGTCTTCAACTATTTTTGCTTACAGATCCTTAAAAGACTTAAATTATGGAACTACTGACACATTAGCAAGTTAACATTGACTATTTTTCATCTGTGGTGAAATAAGTACCTGCAGGGAATTTAATCTCTACCCTATTGATATACTAACATTTTAAAGTAAAACTTATAAGAATACTCAATGGATTATAAATCCATAATAATTTAATAAAACTATTATCTATTTAAATAATAAATTTTTAACACTTTTTTTGGAGAGAGAGTGAGAGCAAGAGCAGGGTGTGGGGGGAGGGGCAGAGGGTGAGAGAATCTCAAGCAGACTTCCACTGAGTGCAGAGCCCAACATGGGGCTCAGTCTCACAATAAGATCATGACCTGAGCTGAAATCAAGCATTGGCCGCTTAACCAAATGAGTCACTCAGGTGTCCCAATAAACTCTCCTTCTAACTGCTGAAAATTCTACATTGCTATTTTATTTTCCTGACCTTTATTGCAATCTCACTCTCTCACAGAATTTTCATCCAAAGTATTTTATATAAATAAGTCTTTCATTGTTACTCTATCATGCTTCTCTCCAACAAAAATCTAAGGCATTAATTGAAATTTTTTAATTGTTAAATTATCTATGACTGCAGGGCAATGTACCATGATAGGATTTAAGAAGGATGAAAGGGTACCTTTCTTTTGTAAAGTAAGAATAAGATTGTTATGAATAAAGCATTGCTTTTAGCCAGATCAATATTAAGAAAGTTTATGTGGAAGCTGAAAATCTGGACAATGACTCTATTAGAACCATCCATTCAAATGCTAAGTAAAAGAAACCAGTCTAAAGGCTATATACTGTGTGATTCCAAGTATATGACATTCTGGACAAGGCAAAAACTATAGAGACAACTAAAAGATCTGTGGTCATCAGAAGTTTGGGGGGGGCGGTGGAGGATGAGTAGATGAAGCACAGGGGATTTCAAGGCAGAGAAACTATTCTGCATGATATGGAACAGTAGGTACATGGCATTATGCATTTGGCAAAACCCATAAAACTGTACAACACAAAGACAAAGCCCTAATAAAAACTATGGACCACGGGTGTCTGGGTGGCTCAGTTGGTTGGGTGTCTGCCTTTGGTTCGGGTCATGACCTCTGTGTCCTGGGGTTGAGCCCCGTTTCGGGATCCCTGCTTAGCGGAGAGCCTGCTTCTCCCTCTCCTCTGCCTCTTCCCCTGCTTGTGCTCTCTCTCTTTCACTCACTCTCTTTCTAATAAATAAATATAATCTTTAAAAAAAAAAACAAACTATGAACCAGTTAAATCCCTTCCCTTGTCTTCCTGAAAACATGTGTTCTAAAGAAAGTATTGTTATTACTTATTGAACATTCACCATCTAATAGGGACCTTAGAAATATTAACTTTAACACTAGAAAGAACCCTAATATAGGAGTATGTTTTCACCTTTTTTTTTTTTTTAAGATAAATAAAGCAAGGCTTTCAGTTATCAGGTGGACTGTCTGAAATCATCTAATACAGAGATCTGGGATCCAGCTCAAAGCTGTCTGACTGGACTACAGTGGCACATATTGCCTTCCTATCAGTCACTTAAATAAGACTGGATGGAGGGTGCCCAGGTCAGGCAAGAAAGTGGCTAAGCAGTTCCTTCAGAAAGTCAGAAAGGAATGAAAGAATCACATATTGCACTTCTATTAAGGAATTGCTAGAATATTGACTACTAAAGAGTAGCAAAAAGAAGAGATTAACAGAGTAATCAGTGAAAGTCAGTGGACAAAATTAAAATAATTGTTTTGTGCTACTAAGAAAAACTTAAAGGTTTTATCTTCAATTTGACTGAAGGGTAAAGAACACATGAGGAATCAAAGGTATGAAGACTCGATATTGACAAAGTATCTGTTCTTCCCAACTTTATCTAAGGATTCAGTGTAGTCCCAATCAGGACATTATTTTGTGACTATGGACAATGTGAGACTGAAGTTTATAAGGAGAGGCAAAAAAATCTAGAATAGTCAACACCAACATTAAAAGAGAACAAAGTTGTAGGATTGACACTACCTGATATCAAGACTTACTATAAAGCTATAGTAATCAAAACAACGTGGTGTTGGAGAAGGAATAAACAAACAGATCAATGGAGAGAAATTGCAAACCCAGAAACAGACTTCCATAGGTATAGTGAACTGATCTTTGATGGAGGGATAAAGTCAGTAGAATGTAGCAAAAATGGTCTTTTCAACCAATGGTGCTACAATAATTGGACACCCATATGCAGAAAAAAAAAAAAGAAGAAGAATCAAAACAAAGGCCTTATACCCATCACAAAAATTAACTCAGAAATATAAATAAACGTAAAATTATAAAACTCATGGAAGGTAAAATAGGAAAAACGTAGATTACCTTCGGTATGGCAATGACTTTTAGATAGAACACCAAAGGTACAATGTGTGAAAAAAAAATAATTGATAAGCTGGAGTTCATTAAAATTAAAAACTCTGTAGAAGACAATGTCAAGAGAATGAGAAGACAAGCCATAGACTAGGGGAAAATATTTGCAAAAGACACATCTAATAAAGGACTATTAATCAAAATTTCCTACAATTCTGCAATAAGTAAACAAACCCATTTTTTAAAATGGGCCACAGAAGACACATAGATTGCAAATAAGCATATAAAAAAGGTGCTCCACACCGTGTGTCATCAGGAAAATTCAAATTAAAACAACCATGAGATACCATTATACATCTATTACAATGTCCAAAATCTGGAACACTGACAACACCAAATGTTAATAAGGATGCAGAACAAAAGAAATTTTCATTCATTGCTGACAAGAATGCAAAATGGTACAGCTACTTTGAAAGACAGTTTGGTGGTTTCTCTCAAAATGAAACATACTCTTACTATAAGACTCAGAAATCCCTTCTTGGTATTTACCCACAAGAGTTGAAAAACATATACCCACACAAAAGTCTTCACAGGATATTTTTGGAGCTTTATTCGGAATTGCCAAAACTTGAAAAAAATCAAGATGAGTAGACAAATTATGGTACATCAAGATAACATGATTGATTCAGCACTAAAAGGAAATAAGCTATCAACATTAAATGTGTGTTACTAAGAAGTCATTCTAAAAAGGCTACATACTATATATTTCCACTTATAGGACATTCTGGAAAAGGCCAAACTGTGGAGATAGTAAAAAATCTGCATTTGGGTGGGGGAAGGGGTGGGGGAGGGATGAAAAGGTGGAGGACAAAGGATTTTTAGGTTAGAAAAAAATACTCTGCATGACTTTATAATGGTGGATACATGTCATTATATACAAGTTCAAGCCAACAGAATCTCCAATACCAAGACTGAACTGTAAACTATGAACTTTGGTAATTATGATGTG